AATCTGTCCTTTTTCAATGAAGAATCCAGAAGGATAGAGTGCCTTACCTGGTGATTACTTCATCCACTGCCCATGGCTGGAGGGACTGGGAGTGACTTGGAGGTGGCCTTATCCATTTTCTCAAGTCCACTTAATCTCTCAGATCTGCCCTCAAAATATCTCTAACAAAAATATCCCCCTGTCAGATAACTCTTCAATACAGCATCTGCTATTAGAAGCAAAGGCACAGCTCTCAGCACATCACCCATTTTTCAAGTTATTTCACTACAAGCACAATGCTTGCAAAGTAGGTCCAACAATACTGCAGTTTCTAACATACAGCCTTTCAGAAGGGGAAAGATATTTTAGAAAGTTATGCCTCTTATTTCCACTGTCAGAACCAGCTGTTGGGGTACCAGCAAAAAGGGGTGAGATCAAGGCATAGACTCCATTAGTAAGTCTGATCTGCCTTGGTGTGTGCTTGGGAATGTGCACAGCTCTGTACTAGTCAAAGTTCAGACATTACCAATCTCACAGAAAACAGAACACCAACAGCTGCAACATTTATTCCCCAAAAAGTTATAAAGAATATAAAACCACAAACAATAACATAAATAAAAAGTATAACAAAATTCATACAATTGCTCGATATTACAATTTTCAACGGGAAGTACAATCGCAGTATGGGAGTAGCTTAAAATTTATTCTGAAACATTCTGGGACAACCAGAGGCATGGTGAAAGGGAATGGTAAGAGGGAACCAAGTGAAAAAGTATGATAAAACCAGCAAGACAAAGTAGAAGAAAGTTCCACTGGATGGAGATTTACTAAGGAAGCAGCATTACAATTCTTATTTCAGGAAACCCAGTATACAATAAAACAGCTTCTGAAGGAATGCCTTGGGCTACTCAGCAGCAAATAATAATTAATGTGTAACAGGGCAATATTTAAAAAAAAAATCTAGGAAATTATTTTGCATAGCTGTGTGTGGCCACACCTGCCAACAATCACAAACTCCTCTTTATAAATGTTCTATGTCCTTCTTTATAAATGCTTAATTACAACAATAACAATATGCTAAGGAACTATGTGTGCTATATTAGAACAGACAACTTAGTAAGTTTTCTGAGGGATTTTCCAACAACATGCAACAGGAAGGCCTACAGACAGATTTTTTATTTCTAAATAAAAGAAACATGAAATGCCTACTATTTCATCATCCCAAAAAAGCATAAAATCTTGTATGTCCATAAAGCATAAGACTTAATAATTGGAAAGTTAAATCCTTTAACTTCAAGGGAATAGTAGGTTTTTTTAGGCACACAGTGCTTAGAAAGATACTACCCCAGCAAGGGTCACATACACTAGGAAACTACCTTAATTTTTTTTTTAATCTGGCAATAAATAATCAATTAAATTTTCCTTCCTGGGCTAACGGAAAGAGTCTTAGCCTTTCAAATGATGTAACTCTTTTTAAACAAAAAAAAAAATTTGAAAAAGTAAAATATTAAGGACTTCTGTACACTGAATTCAAGGTGCTGAACTAACAGATATGAGCCATTATTGTTTTTATTACTTAACAGAAGAAACACTCCCACATTACAGCTAAGAAGTTTTTCAACATGGTCTGAAGCAGGTTCAATCCTTGCTTTCCCTGTTATGGTACACTGTGTTTCTCAGACAAAGACTTTTTCCAAATGCAATATGTAAACATCAGTGAAGTGCTAGAAAGTAGCATTATTATTTTATTCTCTCCCCACCAAAAATAAAACCTTTCCTCACCTTCTCTCATCCATCCTACAGACTTCAATCCTCAAATGAGACACTGTCTTCTCCCACTTCCCTGGCCAAATTACAAAATCATGGGGAGGTAACAGAAGATAGGAATGGATTACATTCAGCTAGATCATTTTTTTGATCCAACTCACAATAAATACTAATGGCAAAGCAGGAGATGGCATGGTACACGTTAACCATGTTAAATGCTAGGTCAATTTATGCCAAAGGCAGAGCTGCACTCAATAGGCTTCCAAAACCCAAAGGGGGCAGTCACACATTACTTCTGTTCTCCTGTTCCAGGAACAATAGTGAAACCTCAACATTTGCCTTTCACGTGCAGTATTCTCTATTAGGGCTGTGCATTCCTAGAGCTAACAGACACACACTAGGCTTAAATAAAAACATTAAAATTCTCACTGGCAATCAGGGGCAGCTTAGCCTGGAGAGCATGCTAATTTATCATGTAAACCTGAAAATAATATGAAAGATTAATAGTTGTAGGTAGAAATCTCACAAAAAAATATTTCAAACTGTTCGCACTCTGCTTGTAATCTCACCAATGCAAATTACTTGTAAAGAGTTGTAAAGAAGTTAAAATTAATGTTTTGATTTACTTTTTTTTTAAATTAGGAAATTATTTTTCATATCAAAAGGCCCACAGGTTTACAAATACGCTGTTAAAGGATCACAGTAATTTTGTGATGTTCATTTGCATATATGCCCCATACTTCTCGACTAAGAAGCCTGTCATGATGACCAAGTTTACCCATATAAAGTCTTACAGGAAAAAGAAGAACTTCCCATTCTTTTTTCACCCAGAAACATGCACCAATTTCACCTCACAGGCAAGATATTTGAAGTTATTAAACTGAAATTAAGGCCCCCAACTGTTCACCACAGAATCTGGAGCTGCTCATATGTGAAGGATTTGGATAAAATCCTTTCTGTTTGAGAGTACAGTTGAACATTTTTAGAACTGCTGATAAGACTGCACAGTTACTTTGCTATCAAATCTGAAGTAATTTGGTTTTCCTAGCGGAAGCCTAACTCTTACAAGAACTTTCTAAAATGACAGTTTATCATATGATGTATCAATGCAAACACATGGCATAGCTCAAAACCCAGTCCCCAAACTTTGTGCAATGAGACTTCTGACATAAAGCACCCACTGAAACACAACTGAAAGACCAGAAGAGCTACTTTGTCCTTACCCTCAAATCATAGTATGCCTTCACACAAACCCACACCATTCTTTTAGAGGGCAGGGAGAAAAATTAGCATTCAAGTGCATTAAGCCAATTAATTGCTTTGATCTGGAGAAAACCATTTTCCATGATGCAGCTCAGTAGAAATCTAACCAATCATGATGGTAAAAAACCAGCTGTAATGAAATCTTAATATTTGCTAGTCATTAAATACATACCAAACACGTGATAAGAAAAACATTCAGATAGCTCAAAGCTTTTTAACAAAGCATACATTCACATTAAAAACTGGAATCCGAGTTCAAAGCTGCTGCAGAAGGTCCTTTTCCCCTTCCTTCCACGGGTTTTGGAGAGCCACCAGTAAGTTGTACACAAAGCAAATCCTTCCATCTTACTTTTAAGAAACTTCACAATAGTTTTCCCTTCTCCTTAAGAAATAAGATCAGCAGAAGATAGTAATTAGATTCTCGTCCCAAAGCAGTATGAGTATTTTAATTCTCTAAACATGTAAGTTAAACATGTCCATTGCATATATATTAAAGAGAAAGAAGTTTTACCAGCAAAATTCTTTATTCACACACTCATTATGTTATTCTTTTCATGCCGAGAGGTAGATTTCGCTAAAGTAAAACACAATGTCAACTACAGAATCATTGAAGCCATGGCCATGAACCACTTTAAAGCAAATGTATACAAAATACTACTGAACCTTCAGCACTATGGCAACACTTGCTTGCTTTATCTTTGAATTTCATTCATTTTCTTCTCCAAATGTTTGTTTACAGTAATTGAGACCCTGCAAAAAAAAATGCCTCGATTATGACTGGTAAGAATTTTCAGTTGAGAAGTTCCTCAACTGCAATTTCCAGGGTCCTAATCGCTAATATGCAGCTCAGAGAGAGTGAAGTACAAAAGAAATGCTGTAAAGTATAAACCAATGGCATTCATACAGCTCGACATTAAGTTATGTGGCCTCTGTTAAAAACTCATTGTTAAACTTCCCATGTCACTCAAATCCACTGCTACTGTTAACACCAGAAGAAACACGATGTGCACTTTTCTTCCTACAAACTTAAATTTACACTATTAACTGTTGTTAATAATCTAAATCTCTTAGTACAGTCAAATAATAGGAGAAAGCAAATCCACAAAGTTTGCAGACCAGTTCCTTATCTTGTATACACCAGAAGTCTCAGTGCTCTGTTTTCACAATTCCTAGGCACCACGAACTATGTTGAGAATGGTGTTTTCTACATCCTGGAGACCCTTAATGAAGCAATGTAAAATCTCTGCAAGTTCTGCAGCCTTATGTACAAGAGACAAAGTAGTAAGATTTTATCCGCCAGGCAGATATTACTCTAAAAACATCCTTTTAAGACAGGAAAACTAGAAGAAATTTTACAGAAGAGGTTTCTAGTTCATCGCTATTCACTGAAGTACAGCTCAGTGACAGTGTAGGAAATCACTAACTACACTCAGTAAACGCAGAAAATAACATCCTATATTAAATGACAGTTAAACAATATAGCCATTTGTCATTAAGAGCAGTAGCTTCAGCTTTCTTTTCTTTACACCGTGCTTTCCATTACAGTGCCAAGAGTAAGTAAAACGTCTGAATTAGAAATCAGATGTGCAGGAGATGGTAATTCGCTGCAGCAGAACCAGCCTCAGTTTGGGCAGCACGGCTGCTGCTCTCCTCCCTCGCCAGGTGCCTGAGGAGCACAGGCAGGCCGGCCGCTGCCCGCGGTGAGCACCGCGGCTCGTCCGACAGAACCCGTGCAGACGCTACAGACACACATGTTCGTCTTCCCAGCACTGACCTCTCACAGGTCTGCTGATCCCGCAGAGCAAACAAATGAACTCAGAGGCCAAGGCTGCCGCGGACAGCCCCTTCTGCAGAGCGGCCGGCCCGCACCGATCAGGTCCCGCGGCGCCGGGGCACGGCAGCGCCCGGAGCTCTCCTGGCCCGGCCGTGCCCTCTCAGCCCCGGCGCTGCCGCCCCCCGCGCCTCGCCCGGCCGCGCCCGCCGCCGCTCACCCAGCTTGCCGCGGGACTCCTCCAGCTTCTGGATCTGGTTCTCCAGGAACAGCACGGCCACCCCGAAGACCAGCACCGCCAGCAGCTGCAACTTGGGCGGCAGCATAATCCTGAGCAGCCCCATGAGCAGCAGCAGCAGCGCCGCCCGCCCGGGATCACGACATAACGCGGGGCCCGGCCCGCGGGGACCGGCGGGAGCCGCGGGGACGGCACGGGCGATGGGGACGGAGGGAGCGCGGCCGGGGGCGCGGACAGGGCCCGGCGCCGCCGCTCTCACATCGCCGCGCGCACGGCCCGCAGCGCGCCCGCCCCGCCCGCGCGGCCCGGCCCCCGCCGCGCCCCGCCCGCCCTGCGCGCGCTGCTCGGCAACCGAACGCCCGGCCGCGCGCCCGTCCCCGCCCCCGTCGCCGCCGCCGCCGCCGCCGCCGCCGGGCCCCGCGGCGGGCCCCGCCCCCGCCTCTGCCATTGGGCGGTGCTGACGAGGCCCCCGCCCCTCGAGCAGTCCGATTGGTCCAGAGAGGAAATCGCTCCGCCTCCCCCGCCGCTCTGAGCCGCCGGAGCGGGGCGATGTCCCGCCTACAGGCGTCCCTTCCTGCTTGGAAGGCGCTGCTTGAAGTCCCGCCCATCCGCCCAACCTCGTTGGGCACAGGCACACTGCCCGCGGGGAAAGAACAGTGCTATTGGTTGGACTGGCTGTCAGTCACTGGGCTGGGGCCTACGTGCCGCTTGGCAGCAGTTCCCGAGAAAGGGGAAAGGGATTTAGTCGGAGTTGTTTCCGCAATGCCCGACCAGCGTTGGGGATCGGCAGTTCCTACAGCCTCGCTGCGAAGCACTGCTCTGAACAGACTAAAATATCTTTGTTGTAGAATTCTATAAGACATTCTGGGTTAGCAGTTTCAGCTTGTGGCGCTGGGGGCTGGGAGCAACTCTTTGCTCTCCCGCATCAGGCGGCGTGTCGGTCACCCGCGATGGGTGAGGTCCTTCCGCGGCCCCCGGCGGCGCTGGCAGGGGCGCTCCGGCACCAAGATGGCGGCGGCCGAGCTGGGGGCGCTGGGGCGGCGCTGGTTCTGCTGGCTCCTGGGGCTGCAGGCGGTGAGAGCCGGATCCGGCGCGTTCGCTCTCGGGGCTGAGCGCGGCTGCAGTTCCTGGGAGATGAGCGAGTGTGAGGGCGGGGCGGCGGCGTGAGACGTGTCCTGGTGCGGGAGGCGCGGGCGCCTCCTCCCGCTCCTGCGGCCGTGGCCGCTTCTTTTGCTTTCCGTGTCGGAGACTGGTCTCTGCTTCTGCCTTCTTCCTAAAACAGTTTATATTGGTGCTGCCTTTTTTTTTAATATGCTGAATTATTTGGTGTGAAAACAAAGCAGCACTGAAACGTGTATTTGGAGCCAAAGCTTTGAAAGAGAAAATGCTGATTAAATGAGGCGCATCACTTGCTAAATGATCTTTCTGAAGTGTGAGGGGTTTTTTCTAGTCCCAATCAGAGACATTTATTATGACTAGTACATTTATTGTTTCAGGAAAATATGATAGTTAAGATACTGAAAATTGAGTAAAAATATGAAGGAGAGACTTTCTCCTATTTATTTTTCCTTTACCTCTCCGTAGTTTTATTCTCAAGGTGTTTTGAGCTGTTTTTGTAACGAAAACAAATTGAGTGAGGAATTGTCATGTAATGGAGCCTGATGCCTTAAGTTTTAGCTTTCATGTTTTCCAGATTCGGTACTGCATTAGTATATAACTCTGAGCTTAATATAAAGTGTTAGCAAATTCTCTTCACAGTTTAGTTAGACAAAACAATCCTTTTCCAGCCCGAGAACAGAGGACATAGTTGCAGCTTCAGGCCCCAAAAGTGTAAACAACAGTGAATTGAGGAGAGCAGTCTGGGAGGATGAAACTTCATAACCTGGAGCTGTAATAGAACAATTAACCCCAATATGTAAATGGACCAAAACTTACAAAAGTGAGAAAACGTGTGACCCATCGTTCATCTTGGGAGTAGCCACGGCCAGGCTCTTGTACTGCCCAAGGTGTAACCTTTGAAGGCCTTTTAAAAAAATACCTACTTTATTCTTTTAACACTGTCTAGCCTCTGTTCTAGGTAGCCTCTCAAGGCATCAAGCCTTTACTTGCTTTTATATACTGATAGTGTTTTGGTTGGTTCTTTCTCACACACACACAACCCCAAAAAAACCCTCAGGAGAGTATTTGCCTTACGTTCACAGATTGCTTAGGGATCTGCTGGGCAAAGGTGTGAGGAGAGAGGCTGCTGGAAGCAAAGTGACAAGGCCAGTAGCCGTGTTATTGCTCCAAGGGGGACAGATTCAGAAGTGATAATGAAGTGAAAAGATGACAGTAAAGCATCAGTGTTAGATGGCAAGCAGCAAGGTGCAAGAAAATTGCTTTATTTACTACCATCATTAATTTGATAAGTTAGCAGTAATTAAATGTAGCAGTGTTTGGAATGCTCCTTAGGGACTTTTTATGCTATTGTGTCATTGTTGTATTTCTTATTGCTAGTATGCCTCAGAAAAGATAAATGCTAAATACTTTAAAAACTAAATACCTTAGTAAAAATCCTAAAGAAAGGCTAAATAATTACAGTAGAACAAGGTTCCATTTTTGGTTGCCTATTGTCACACAGTGCTCCATAGGAAGAAGAAAAGTATCTTTCTGCCTGATAGAACAGTGATTTCAGAATAGCTTTTTAATGTATTATAATTCTCTGTTCATGCTTTAACTCTACTTTTTATCAGATACAGAGAAATAGAATAATGAGGCACCTAATATATTTTCTACCAATTTTCAATCCATAATATTTTCTATCTGTCACAAAAGATATGTCTTTTCTTCAGCTGTAGGTTGGCCACTTAAGCAGAGGAAATGAGTTTTGTCTCTACCTGACTTGGGTGTGCTGCATGGATTAGATGACATGTGGATGTGAGAAGTCCGTTTTGCTGAATGACAAACTTAGTTTTTCTTGTGTACTTTTCTGTTTGGCCCAGCATAATTCTTCTGAGTCTTGGCTGTTATCCCCCAGCTGAGTTTGCTGGTGCCCTGTCACTCCTGTCTGAGCACAGTGGTCCTGATTGTTTTCTTGGTGCTTTGGATGTAGTAGGTTTTGCCTGGGGTCTTTTACCCAGACTGAAAAGCATCTGGGAAAGTTACCTTCTATCCATTCTTAATTTCCTCTCTCACTTTTTCCTCTCCAAAGTAAGCAGCTGGAAGGGAAAGTTTTAAGCCAAGGTGAAATCCATTTGTAGAAAAGTGGGAATGTGAAGTTGCTACAAGAAAGACACTGAGGGGCTGGAGTGAGCCCAGAGAAGGACAGTGGAGCAGGGAAAGGGTGTGGAGCACAGGTTCTGTGAGGAGCAGCTGGGGGAGCTCAGCCTGGAGAAAAGGAGGTTCAGGGGGAACTTATCAATCTCTACAACTGCCTGAAAGGAGAGTGTAGCCAGGTGGGGGTCAGCCTCTTCTCCCTGGTAGCAAGTGATGGGATGAGAGAAGATGGCTTCAGCTTGCACAAGGGAAAGTTTAGATAGGATATTAGGAGTAATTTCTTCCTTGAAAAGGTGGTCAGGCACTGGAATGGGCTGTCCAGGGAAGTGATGGAATCACCGTCCCTGGAAGTGTTGAAGAGGCACGTGGATGTGGCACTTGGAACAGGGTTTGGGGCTGAACACGGGGGTGCTGGGTTAATGACTGGACTCATTGATGATCTTGGAGGTCTTTTCCAACCTTAGTGATTCTATGAGAACAAAACTCAAATATCATTTAAGTGTTGTGATTGGTTGTGTTATTTTTACTGCCCATAAAAAGCAGAACTGGTGTTTTACATAGAAGCTATGTAATTGAATGGCCTGTTTTAAAGTATTGCTGATAAATCAGAATTGCAGGTTTTTATCTGCACTTCCACATAATAGCCTATGCAATTTTCCTGTAACATTAATGCAAACATGAAATTAAAGTCCTACCTGTATGTCTTGTTGAGCAGTTTGGTAAATTTTATCACTTCCGGGTTGTGTTTTTCCTGAGCTTAGCTGTTACATTACTTTCCAGGAGTGTTTTTAGTGATCTGAAACTTACTGAAATTCTTTTTGAAGAGGAGCCTTTGGAAAGCTGTAACCATGTGCATTTCAGCTGGTTTCTTACCTTTGGGCTTTTTTCTTAACTTGAAGTTAGCGATAGATAGGAAGGCAATAGAGCTATCAGGAATGTATAGAAATTAATTTTGGCAGGTCTGATACCTTGAAATGTACATATTACGAGTGTCTGGAATTCCCTGTTAGTTTAAGACCCTTCTCAATAGGGTGGTGTTTGAACCCTTGGACTGACCATTTAGGCATTACTGTAATACAGTCACAAGAAACTAATTCCTTCTTTCTAATCATTAAAGCATTTAAAGTCACCTCTTAAAAAAATAAATTTATACTAAGTGTAACATTGTATTGACTTTCAGGTAAGTGTTTATGGAGCACAGTTGTCATCAGAAGCTTGCAGAGAGCTGGGTTTCTCCAGTAACTTGCTGTGCAGTTCTTGCAACCTTCTTGGGCAGTTCAATCTGAATCAGTTGGATCCATTCTGCAGGGATTGCTGCCAAGAAGAAGCTCAGTTGGAAACTAGAAAGGTGAGTTTTGGACCAAATCCCATGTGGAATAATTTAACATGTCATGTTTATTAAACTTTTCATTTAAAAAAATACATGAGAATCTGGATTATCATTTCAAGAGGAAAATGCAGTATTTATTCATAGCCGAGTGTACATCTACAGGGTCTAGATCTGCAGACTTGCCATCCTGCTGTAAAATAATATCCCTGTACCAACTGGGGAATCTTTGGTTCTTTGGCAGCCCTTATCTGGTGTGATGTGACCATATTTGGGAACTACATCCAGCATCTTTTCAAAGGAAAATACGTAGGATTGGAAGGGGGCAGAAAAGGAGGATAAGGAGAGTGGTGTTTGTTGACAGCCCCTGCTTGGTCACTGACCCACAGTGTAATGGCCACGGGGGCTTAGTTCAGTCCTTGCAACAAAAGGCTGGTGCAGCCTCCAGGTCAGTTCCTGGATGGAGCGGCACAAACCTGATAGAAGCAGGACTGCTCACCTCCATCCTGCAGCAGTGAGAGCAGCTGGATATTTTGGGAATGATCTCTCTCAGAGCTCATGCTGTGCTTCAATCAGTTTAAGGCAAAACCTTTCACTTAACTGTAGTAAATAAATATCTGTGTTCCTTAAAGTATGTTACCAATGAAGGATTTTTAGAGTTCTTGAAAACAATACATGTTTCCTAATATGTGGTAATTTAAGAGT